TGGTCGCATCCAGTACCAAATCTGTCATCTTCATGGTTATTCCGCCATTGATTGTTTCAATATGTTGAACGTGGCCTAGGAAGGTCATGTCCCGGCTCCTTGTCTTCAAGCTTATGCTGTTGCTGCACCTACTTCAGTGTCTACCTCTCCCACTGGTCTTCAAAACTAGCTCTTTGATTCTAGTGCAAATGCACACATCACTAGTGACTTGAATCAGGTTTCGAATCCACACCCTTACATTAGTACAGATAATGTCAATGGAGTGGTTGATGGATAAGGTTTCCAAGTTTCTCATGTTGGCATGTCCTTTATTCACACACCAAATCATTCCTTTACTCTCCTAAACACCCTTCACTGCCCTAATGCCTTAACTAATGTTATCTTCCTAAATCAATTCACCAAGGACAATAATTATTCACTAACCTTATATTCCCAGTTCCTACCGTGTCTAGGACCTTCAAACGGGGATGATGCTTTTACAAGGCCGGAGTAGAAATGGCCTTTATCTGTTTTCAAGTTCTTTTGTGGTCAACAATGAAGTCTCTGCATTTGTTGGTGTTAGAGCGTCCATTGCTATTTGGCATTCTTGGCTAGGTCACCCTGAATTTTCTGTTATACGTAGTTTAATTTCCAACAATAAATTACAATTACATGGTATTGTAACCTACGACTTTTGTTCATCATGCCCTTTGGGCAAAAGCCATAAGTTGCCTTTTCATTTGTCCTCGTCCACGTCGTCTTTTCCTTTAGAATTAATACGTTCGGATGTATGGATTTCTCATTCATATTCAATTAATGGTTACAAGTACTATGTTGTTTTCGTGGATAATTTTTCTAAGTATGCATGGCTCTATCCCTTAAAATTAAAATATGAAGTTTTTCACACCTTTGTTCATCATGCCCTTTGAGCAAAACGGTCTCGTGGAATGAAAGCATCATCATCTCGTTGAAATTGGTTTAACCGTACTTGCTCATGCTTCTCTTCCACAAAATTTCTGGGATGATGCTTTTCATGCTGCCAATTATTTGATTAATAGTCTTCCCACCAAGATTTTGAATGACATATCTCCCTTTCAAAAACTATCTTCCAAATCACCAAAATATGATTTTCTCAAATTATTTGGTTGTGCTTGTTTTCCCTACTTACGTCCATACACTGATACTAAACTTCAGTTTCATTCAAAATAATGCATTTTCTTAGGTTATTCATTAACTTATCAAGGATACAAATCTTATGATCCTTCCACATAGAAGTCTTTCATGTCCCGTCGTGTTGTTTTTAATGAAAAGAGTTTTCCATTTAAAGAACTTGTTACTCCACCATTGTTATCCACTAACGCCCCAGACACAGTCCTTTATATTGACTCTTTTCAATATCGTCAGCCTCAACCTATCCCTAACACTGCTAATCCTATCCCACTACAACCTTTACCACATTTCTCCGCCACCATTTCAACTCCATTGCCCCCTCCACCCTCTCCTACTCCTACCCTACCTCCCTTTACTCCAGGCACCCATTCCCTACCAACCACTACATCTAATCCCATGAATATTGGAATAGCCAATGTCTCTTCTCATGATCCTCCGTCCATTTATCGCATGATCATGTGTGGTCAACAGAGCATTTGAAAACAAAATCTTAAGTATGCTTGTATCAGTGATATTACTAATTCTTTGATTGAGCCAACTTGTTTCTCGCAAGCAAATAAGTCTCCAGTGGCGCTAAGCAATGGCAGACGAATTCATCGCTTTACAGCGCACTGGCACTTGGACTTTAGTTCCCTATCAGCCTTCCATGAATGTATTGCCGTATCGCATAAAAAAGAAGTCTGATGGTTCAGTTGAGCGTTTTAAAGCGAGACTTGTCGCTAATGGTTTTCATCAGCAAGAGAGAATAGATTTTGGGAGGACTTTCAGTCTTGTAGTCACTCATGCTACCATTCATCTAATTTTTTCTATTTCTCTTCACTTCTAATGACCTATACGATAACTTGATGTTCAAAATAGCTTCCTTCATGGGACCTTGAATGAGGAAGTTTACATGCAGCAGCCTGCAGGGTTCATCGATCTTTAGTTCCCTTCATATATGTGTCGTCTTCAAAGATCTTTATATGGTCTAAAACAAGCACTCCGTGCTTGGTTCCAATGTTTTTCCCAGAAACTCGAAGACTTAGGATTCATATATTCCCAAGCTAACTCATCCTTTTTCACATATTTTGATGGCTCAACAATCATTTATATATTAATCTATTTTGATGATATCTTAATCACCGGGAACAACAGTGCTCAGTTGTCTCAGTTTATCAAACAGCTTGAACATCAATTTGAAATGAAAGATCTTGGGCCCTTACATTATTTCTTGGGCATGGAGGTTTCATGGACACCTTTTGCTATGTATCTCGCTCAATCAAAATATAGTTTGGAGCTTCTAAAGAAAACCAACATGATTGATGCCAAAACAATTTCCACGTCAATTTCTAGTGGTCGACGTTTGAGTTTATACGAAGATGAAGCTTTCTCGGATGGAACTTCTTTTTGTAGTGTCGTGAGTGCCCTCCAATACCTCTTATTTACACGCCTTGATATTGCGTACGCTGTCAACTAAGTGTGCCAGTTCATGCATTCTCTAACTACTACATATTGGGCTACAGTGAAACTCATCTTAAGGTAGTTAAAAGGCATCCATGATCACTGCCTTTGCTGACGCCAACTACACCGGTGATCCCAATAACCGTCAATCCATTAAAGGTCACTGCATATTTCTTGAGGACAATTTAATTTCTTGGAGTTCGAAACAGCAACATGGTGTGTCAAGGTCCAGCATAGAGGTTGGGTATTGTCAGCTTGCCTACACCTCTGCACATCTATCATGGTTTCGTAATATTTTTCGTGACTTGCATCTGCCATTACCACCACCTTGTTTCTGGTGTGACAGTATCAGTGCCATTGCTGCTACTTTTAACCCAGTTTACTAAGCTCGCATGCGCCACGTTGAAGTAGATTATCATTATATCAGGGAGAAGATAATTCTCAAGAAGATCGATGTTGGTTATGTTGCTACAACAGATCAAGTTGCTGACTTTTTAACAAAGGGTTTATCCTTTATGTGCTTCAAGTATCTTATCTCCAAGCTTCCAGTTCGTCAACGCCCTGCCAGCTTGCGGGGCCGTGATAAACCTATTCTAGATAATTCTACAAACCTTAAAGATCATTCCACGTCATCATTAACAATTCAAATGAAATCTTCCCACTGTAATATGCAACAAAAGAGTCCAGTCTCATCCCTAACTTCGTCATTACTATTGTAACAACACAGTCCATCATCTACACAATTCTTTCAAATAACACAGTCCATCATCTACACAGCTCTTTCAAATACTTCTATATCTAATTCAAATATTTGTATTTTATCTTTCAATTGTAACAACCTCATCATTTGTAATTCTATATAAAGGAATGAATGAACACTCACTCATTATCAAGTTGAGCTTACACAATTCAACTACTATAATTCAGTTTTCAAATCTCCTTTAATAAGTACATACATACGAGTCCTCTGATTTCTTTCGATGATATTCGTATCATAGAAATTGTATCCCTAGAAAAACAAATGCAAACTTGTACATGATTTTAATTTTGGTTAATGTATTGATTATTAATTCAATATTAGACGTGTGGAGCTTTGTCTGCCATCGAAAGGTAAAAAAGCCTTGGGTTACTTAGACTCCCCTACATATAACTATAGGTTTTGGTGATATATTAACCTGCTTATCAGAGTAAGATTAACTATTTATAATTTTGTGGTCAACCATCAATTGTTGTTGTGTACGTATTGCCATCCATGAAGAATGTGGAAGGTATTGGATTCTAAAAGACACTTTAGCAGCAGACAAATTGTCTCATGCTCGCCTGTGTATCTCTCTATCTAGATGGAAACAAGTAGCACGAAAAGTGCAATATTTTATAAACCTTATGGCTCACAACAATAAATTAGTATTACAATGCAAGACATATCTAAGTCTCAGTTAACACGTAGCGAGGTATATGGATGTCTTGAAATCTATAAAACGCATGCTCGTTTTAACAAGGGTTTCCAGATTTTGACTTTGTATTGTGTACACTAGCTAGTTTCTCCCCCTAACGGTTATGTGCATATCAATATATATATTTAGTGGCGAAGTCAGGATTTCTCAAGGGGAGGGACGAACTTAAAAGAGTGCAAGGTTAAAGAAAAATAGCAACAACTAAATTTTTTTTATATAGTAATGTCTTCCATAATTAATCAATATAAACAAATTACAATTATTGCCGGCAAAGTTTCATGTCATGAAAACGTCGCATGATAGGCTCATTATCAATAAAAGCAAATACATATCTCTCAATGTAGACAACCATGCTATCACTCAACCATGCAATGGTGTTTTTACAATCTTCATAGCAAAAAAAGCTCTCTCCACCGAATCGGTTGCAACCGGTAACAACAAAGCCAATGTAAGAAGCTTATACACTAATATATAGCTTTCACACCTCCCGGTTTTTTGCAAGATCACTAGTTCCTCCCAATGATGAAAACTCACTATGCATCTTCATATCATGAATGTAATTGTCAAGTTGAATTGGAAGATTTATGAGGTCCATACAATCAAAATCTTGAGGATAAAGTTGGGCTAAACGAACAATTTTGCTTTGTCAAAAGATGAAAAATTATTCATCAGACTCAAACATGCCATATAAAAAAGCAACATGGTGTTTACCTCGTTGAAGCGCTCATTCAATTCCTTTAGTTGCATATCAAGGACTTGAAAATAGAGGTCCACACGATATTAATGGAAGTGTATGATTTTTGGAGCTTTACGTCTTGATTTTCCAGGTACGAAATGCAAATCCTTCATGTTAGGAATGATAATATCATGCTCCTTACAATACTTTTCTACATCATGAAACAAGTCCCCAAAGTCATCATCTCTCAAGGATTGTAGTCTTTGCTTGCATACTTCCACTCACACCATCACATTCATAATATCTTGATCTTTCTTTTGCAATGTTTGTGATAACTCATTTGTAATTCCCAATATACGTCTCATCAAGAAAAGGTGAAACGCAAAATCAAAAGTTTGTATGTCTTTGAATAACCTAGTTGCTTCACCAAGATTATCTTGGTTGTGATGACTTTTAATCCATTCAACCACCTCCACCACGGCTTCAAACATAACAATAATACTAACTATAGTACCATAATGAGGGTTCCACAATGTATCACATGGACGCATGAGACTACTTTCTTGATTTAACCCTTTTCCAGTTTCAAGATGACCAAGATCAAGAGCTTTCTGAATTTGTTCTTGTTGTTTCTCTCTAAATGCATCACGACGCTTACATGATGATCCAATAAGATTCACCAAACTACTAGCATCAATGAGGAAATTGGCAACATCCTCATTTTCCTTTGCCACGAATACAAGAGCTAGTCGAAGTTGGTGTGCAAAACAATGAATATAAAATGCTTGAGGGTATTTGTTCAAAATCTTTGTTTTAAGACCAGTTAACTCACTTCTAATATTACTAGCTCCATCATAGCCTTGTCTTTGTAACTTGGACATACTCAAATTTGTTGTGGCAAACAATCTCTCAATCAGAAGAATTATACTTAAGATTCTTGGGAGCATTCTCAAACACAACCTTCCTAACTTGTTCATTATGCTTGGAAAGTAAGCTCCAAATAATTACCCCTATTGCTTGATTTTAACGATTCATCTTGGCCATGAAAAAGGCAAATCTTGTCCCAATAACCATCTTGTGCACTCAAGTGAGGCACTCAATAAAGTATGATAATTAATGCGAGCTTCATCGGTTTGCTTAATCAGAAATGTTTCAATGTGTTGTTTTTGTGCATTGTTCTAAAAATCGGCATAGGCAGTAGTGCCGATTAGGTGCTAATTGGTGGACAAAAGCAATGAGGTGTTAGGCGCCCACCGATGCGCTCCAGGTGGCCTAAGCAGTGTCAAAGCGATCCTTTTTTCTAGCCTTCTCTCCTAACCGCCGTTTTCTGGTCGCCTTCCGCCTTGGTCACACCAAGTCACAACCTCAGATTTCCCAATGAAATTTGAGTGAATAAGAGGGAGGGAGAGACCGAGACAAAGAGAGAGAACAATCTACAAGATATATGAAGGCAGGGAGAAAGAACAATCTGTTATAGAGGGATGGAGGGGGAGGGAGAGAGATCGTTGATCTATACAGAGAATGAGACAGAAGAGAGAAACGATATATGAGAATTAAGAGAAAAATGGGTGGATGCGGCTAACTTTACTGGGTTAATAATGTGTTTTAAATTAAAAGTTTAGTGGCAATTTCTTGAAGATTTTTAGCAGGCCCATCTTCAATTTTTTAAAAGAAAATATGGCCCAATAATAATTTGAAAATTATGATCTTCAAACAAACTCTTAAGCTTTATACAATACTTATATATTATAATAAATATTTATTTTTGTATGTTTTGTATTTTATTTTTTTTAACATGTATTATTTTTTACGTAAACATGCACTTATTTATATATTATATAATAAATTTATTAAAAAAATACAAATCCGTGTAGTCTACATAGGTGTTAGGCTTCAGCCCGCCACCCGACTAGCGTCTAATGTTGTTTAGAACCATGTATATATGCATCAATGTTTCTACACACACAAAGCAAAAGCTGTTTATGACTAAATTAGAACTCAAGACTATCATAAAATAACGGTCTATTAAAATGTAAATTATCAAGTGGTAGATTGTCATGCTATATAACTCTTTCTCTTTAGTTCATTGTGTTTTAGGTTGAGACTCTCACCTCACCTTAATATAACTAAGAATCTAAGAATAATAATATTGCGTGTAACTAAAATTATGTAAATAATTAAAAAGAAAATAAGAGTACAACAATATTCTATAAATAAGGATGAAATAATAAACAAATATACACAGTGGTGAAGCCACTTGAGGGCAAGGAGTGGCGGCTGCCACTTCCCTTGCCGAAAAATACCACTGGAGAGCTAAATTTAGCCCCTCCCCTCACCAAAAAACCGACTAGTACAACCCTTTTGTTTTCGTTACGTGCAGCAGCAGTAGATTTGGGTTTTTATTTATTTATTTTTTTAAAAAAATCCAAGCCAAAACGATGTTATTTTGGTCTTGGTAAAAAAAAAAAAAAATTTTAAAATAAATTGGCGCCGTTTTGGATGTTTGAAAGAGAGAGAGAGAGAAAATATATATATATATATATATATTTTTTTTTTTTTTCTTTCAAGTATCCAAAACGTGCATATATATATATATATATATATATATATATATAGGGGGACTGCGTGTCGCCGTGTCCTTCCTTCCCTCAGTCCATTCAGCCCTGTGTCCCCCTTTATTGTTTCAACCTCTCCCATTCGCCAATCAGAGATAAAGAGAGCAGCTTTGCCCCCAAAATCCCAGCAGCCAACACCCAATGGAACGGAAAATTTAGGAAGTTCCTGTTGGCTTTTTGCAGCCATCACCAGCCACTCTTCAGCCACTGAAGTTTGAGCCGCCGACTTCCAACCTTCAATCAAAGGTAAATTTTTTATTTCCTAAATTTATAATCCCTAACCCGAATTAATTATTGAATACGATTTTCGTTTAATTGGTATAAAATCATATGGTAATGCACTAATATGGTTATTGGTTATTGACTATTGATATGATTCTATGATTACTGATATGAAATTATTTTTTAGAGTGAAAAAAAATTTGAATTCTTGATTATTAGTTGAATTGAATAGTTGTATTCATATGATTAGTTGAATTGAATTTTTATTTATCGAATAATTTGTATGCTTATTGGTATTGATTAATTGAATTGTGGTTGGATTAGTTATTATGCATACTATAGTATAGTCTACACTAGGATTAAGAGTCTAAGATTTATTTTTTCTTTCCATTTTACAGTTACATAATGGAATGATACTATAAGAAACAATGCTTAAATCTTCCTTCAAACATTTTGGGTAGTCATTTTCCTTCAAATATTCCGAGTAGTCCTCGTCCTTCTTCAAATATTCCAAGAAGTTGTCCTTCCAATATTCCGAGTAGGCCACAACTGACACACCCAGATCCGGAATGCCCATTAAGACTTCGAATCAAATTGTGCTGGCCAACACCTAGAAGGTGACGAAGCCATAAAGTGTAATGATGCGGAAAAATGTGAATAAATTTAAACCTAAGAGTGCCTAAATACCATAATGCGCTGGTGAGCGGGTATGCACCCACTTCACACGTGTTGTCAGAGTATAAGTAAAGTACAGTAGTGTGGGTAAGGATCATACCCTCAGAGGTAATCACTTATATTGAGATTTGCCAAGAATCCTCGTTGATACAATCGTTCAACCGTTACAACCTGGAGGGGCGCAAAACAGAAAACGTGAGTAGGCAAAAACAAAGTTTTGAAAACACATTTCACTTTTCAAATATAATAACCCCTCACCATAAAACCCGTATAATTTCTCAGAAAATAGTAGTATATACGTATATAAGAATCATGCTTAAAGCGTTGGAAATCCAAGTATATGCTATGTCAATTATCTCTGAAGTAAACATGTAAGCCAGATGGAATAAATCAATGTAAAATGATATGTCAGCCGGAGTCACCTAACGTGACCTGTACGACTGAACCTATAGCTCATCCATCCACCAGTCGAAGTCACCTAATGTGACCTGTACGGCTGACCCTCATCCATCAATAGTACTGTGTCAGCTGGAGTCACCTAACGTGACATATACGGCTGACCCTCATCCATCAATAGTATTGTGTTAGCCGGAGTCATCTAACGTGACCTGTACGGCCGACCCTCATTACAACTATACTCATTGCAATTTCTATCATCAACACTCAACTGAAGCTTACCTGGGCGTCTACAGAGTCATACAACATTACGGATAAAATGTAATGCTATTGACTTAGCATTTAAAAACGTAATTCCATTTAAAGCAGTTTCTGGGAAAATGTAAAACATATATACATATATATAGAAAACCAAAAGCCCACTCACTAGTATATAGCTAGGTCGTAATCCCCGAGTCTTGCTTGGCTACGCTCTCGCTCGTCCTCCGGAAATGTCTCACCTATATGTGAAACAACTAATTTAACGTTAATTCGATATCACATATACAAAACCTAGGATCAATTTTTCATATGTTGCTCAATTGGGGTGTTTGAATATACCATTGTGGCCTACTCAACCCCACGAGCATCCTCATATTTTTAGAATAATTTTTGGACTTAATCTAGTTTAAGTGTAAAACCCAACTTAAAACTAAATGGACTTAATCCATTTTGAACATAAGGCCTAAACCAATTAAATGGCTTAGGTCCAATTTGAAATGGTTTAAAGGTTGGGCTGGCCCAACAGATTTTTTTTTTTTTTTTTTTTGTTTCTTTTTCCTCCTTTCGAAAATCTGCACTTTTTCAGTTTGGAACGCAAGACTTCTAGAGCTCATTTCGAGCTCGATTCTCAACCAAAATCCATGATTCAGAAGCCTAAGTAAATTTAGGAATGTAGGGAATAGATCTATACCCATTTGGGGTAGTAAAATAGACAGGAGTCGCCGGAAAAGTGGTATAAAATTGGCCAAATGGTCACTGGTCCAAGAATTCTAGAAAACTGGAATTTTTTCCTTACTTTCCTAGCTAGTTTCTAGTTCGATACTAAACCAAACTTGATGATTCAAAAGCCATTTTGAAGTTAGAAATGTAGAGAAGAGAATCATATCCTTAAGAGAACCAACGGAGAACCGGAATTGGTCGGAAATTTGGTCTGAAAATGATCAAACAACCACTGTTCACTTTCCACAAATCTGGGGAAATTCTTCCCCGAGATGAAATCTTGGTCGAAAGGTTCGAGATTCCGACGAAGTTACCATACGAAAACTACACAATTCCAAAGGGTGAGAAAGGGTGAGTATGGGGTGTGAGGAAGAAAGGGAGACATTTTGATAGTTGCAGTAGGTGCAAATATGTATGTGCGTGTGTGTGATGTCGGGGACGAGATCACCGAGACGAGGAGAGGTGTGGGAGAGTGTGAGGGAGAAAAGGAATTTTCTGGAATGAGGGGGAAAATGGCACGGGAGGGAGTAAGTAATAAAGCCCTGAATTGGGCCATTGAGTTAAGGCCCTAAAAATGGGTCCAAAGAAGAAATAACCAACTCGAAAAATAGAATTACACCCGTGCTCGTTATTAATTCATGTCGACGTGCTCGTGACGCCGAGCACCATTTAATTTAAAACTATATATGTCCATCCACATCACTAAATCAAAAGGGTATTATTGTCATTTTACATGCTCGGTGATAAAATATATACCTTGATTTAGGATGGACTGTAAAAACCTACCTCCTTTTAGAAAATTTCGTCCCCGAAATTTAAAATCATTTACTAGACAAAATTAGTGAAAAGACAGTAGAAAAATAAATATGTGAAGGAGATATCAAGTTAGAGTGGCTGCATAAAAGAGAATGCCATTCCATCGCGATCGGATTGCAATTATTCCTCTTTCATGCCTCTAAGCTCAACTTTCTTTCTCCTTTAGCATTATACTG